CGGGCAGGGCACGGGCCCAGGTTGTGGGCTTGATGATCTCCAGTGTGGGGCGTGCAGGAGGCAGCCAGGGTTCTCCCTCTCTGAAATCAATAAAAATATGTGTTAAGCCGAAACCGGTGTGGCTCAGTGGATAGGGCGTCGGCCTGCGGACTGAAAGGTCCCGGGTTCGATTCTAGTCAGGGGCATGTACCTTGGTAGCAGGCACATACCCAGTGGAGGGTGTGTAAGAGGCAGCTGATCCATGATTCTCTCTCATCGATGTTTCTAACTCTCTATCCCTCTCTCTTCCTCTCTGTAAAAGATCAATAAAATATATATTTTAAAAAAATATATGTTTTTTTAAAAAGAAAGGAAGAGAAGGCTCTAAGGAGGGGACGACCGTGGCCCGGGGGAGCCGGAGGGGCGGGCTGGCCTTCGGGGAGGGCGTCTGCCTGGCGGGCAGCGGGGCCATCCAGCGGGCCGTGGCCTCACGCCGCCCGCGGCCCCTTGCAGTGGGTCCTGGCCTTCGGGGAGGGCGTCTGCCTGGCGGGCAGCGGGGCTGGTGGGCCGTCCAGCGGGCCATGGCCTCACGCCGCCCGCGGCCCCTTGCAGTGGGTCCTGGCCTTCGAGATCTTCATCCCCCTCGTGCTCTTCTTCATCCTGCTGGGGCTTCGGCAGAAGAAGCCGACCATCTCGGTGAAAGAAGGTGAGGCCGGGGCGGCGGACACGGCGGGGGCAGGCCGCCCTCCCGCCACGCACCACACGCATGTCCTGTGTGCACGCGGCCGTGTGTGTGTGTGTGTGTGTGTGTGTGTGTGTGTGTCCTGGATCCCACAGGCGCCGCCCCCATCCGTGAGCCTCACCCCGAGTGGTCCCTGGCCACGCCTCGTGGCCGGCCACGTGACCACGCGTGTCCTCACTGTTCTCCTCTGTTCTGTTTCCCCTCCCCGCATGGTCTGTGCCCTCCTCCGCCGCCCGCATGCAGTCAGTAAGTGAGCAGCCGCCTCCTCCCTGCTGGCCCAGCGCAGCCGCAGGATGGTTTTGGGGGGCCTCCTGGTGCGGCTTGAGCACCCCCCACCCCGCTTGCATAACAGCCTTCCCCAGACCTGCTGGGTCTGGGAGCGCCCCCGCCCGCTGGCAGGGACCGCTGGCCGCTGGCCCTGGGGGGGTGCCGGGGGCAGGGGCTGGGCCTCGGGGCCGAGCTCCCGGGTTCCTCTCTGTGAGGGGTGGCCTGGCGCTGTCTTGCGGGGCTGGGGCACCAGACATTCTCCCCTCAGACCCCAGCGGGCTCCTGCATTCCCTCTGCTAACCAGCTGGCTACAGAGGTCAGAGGTCGCTGCCCGGGCTTGGGGAGCCCCCGCGGGTCTGTGTGTGGTCGGGGGGAGGGGCGAGGGCCTTGGGGCCTTGGCCGGCTGGGGAAGGAGGATGCTCTGGGGATTGTGGGGCAGGGGTGGTCAGGTGCCCTTCGACCTCTGACCTGCTGGGTCACCTGCACCAGAACTCTCGGCCCTCTGTTCCCCGTCTGCTGCCTGAAACTGCTCCTCCTTCCTGACTTTCTATACGTCTCTCTCCTTGGCCTCTGTCTCCCCCTCCTCCTGCCCCCTCCCCCCCCCGCCTTCTTGCCCGCCCGCCCGCCCCAGCCTTCTACACGGCAGCGCCCCTCACCTCCGCCGGCATCCTGCCCGTCATGCAGTCGCTGTGCCCCGACGGCCAGCGGGACGAGTTCGGCTTCCTGCAGTACTCCAACTCCACGTGAGCCCCGCTGAGCGGCCCCAGCCCCCCCAGCTCCCCCCAGCTCCCCCCACCCCGGAGCCCCCCCAGGCCCCCTCCACCCCACCACCCGGAGCCCCCCCAGCCCACCCCCCACCTCCCCACCCCACCCCCGGAGCCCCCCCCCTGCCCACCCCCCACCTCCCCACCCCACCCCAGTCCCTCCCCAGCCCCCCCTCACCTCCCCACCCCACCCCCGGAGCCCCCCCCTGCCCACCCCCCACCTCCCCACCCCACCCCAGTCCCTCCCCAGCCCCCCCTCACCTCCCCACCCCACCCCCGGAGCCCCCCCCTGCCCACCCCCCACCTCCCCACCCCACCCCAGTCCCTCCCCAGCCCCCCCTCACCTCCCCACCCCACCCCCGGAGCCCCCCCCTGCCCACCCCCCACCTCCCCACCCCACCCCAGTCCCTCCCCAGCCCCCCCTCACCTCCCCACCCCACCCCCGGAGCCCCCCCCTGCCCACCCCCCACCTCCCCACCCCACCCCAGTCCCTCCCCAGCTCCCCCCCATCTCCTCACCCTACCCCCAGAGCCCCCCAGCCCACCCCCCACCCCACCCCCACCCCCCAGAGGCCCCCCCACAGCCCCCCACAGCCCACCCCCCACTCCCCGGAGCCCCCCCAGCTCACCCTACCCCCTGGAGCCCCCCCAGCCCACCCCCCACTCCCCGGAGGCCCCCCCCACCCCCCGGAGCCCCCGCCGGCCGCGGCTGACCCGGCCCCTGCTGCAGGGTCACCCAGCTGCTTGAGCGCCTGGACCGCGTGGTGGCCGACGGCAACCTGTTTGACCCCCGGCGGCCCAGCCTGGGCTCGGAGCTGGAGGCCCTGCGCCAGCACCTGGAGGCCCTCAGCACGGGCCCCGGCGCCGGGAGGAGCCGCCCAGACCGGCCTGCAGGTGCGTGCCCCCCCCCCCCCGGGCGTGAGGAGGGGGCCCAGGCCTGGCGCTGGGTCCGCGGGGTCGAGCCCAGCGGGCGCTTCCTGCCGTCGGCCCCAGGGTGTCGCAAGGATGCTTGCAACACGCAATCCCCCGGTCTGGTCGGGCGCTGACCTCCCTTCCCGTAGACGGTCACGTGAGGGCCGTCCGACGTGATGAGTCAGGCTGCACCTGCTTTTTGGGTCAGATCAGCAGAAAGGGCCTGTGGGGGGGGGGGTTGCGGGGTTCCAGGCCCCGCTTTAGGGTGGAAAACCGCTGATCTAGACTGTTCCGAGCTCCCTGGGGACCCGGCTCAGGTGGGCCCGCCCGGCCGCCCGCCACCGCGTGGCTGAGCCGCGTGGCTGAGCCGTGGGCCGGAGCCGCACCCGACTCGTCCAGCTGGCCCTCAGCCCGTCCTCTCCCGTCCAGTGTCCTCCTTCTCGCTGGACGCGGTGGCCCGGGACCCAGGGGAGCTGCGGCGGTTCCTGACGCAGAACCTGTCCCTGCCCAACAGCACGGCCCAGGCCCTGCTGGCCGCCCAGGTGGACGTGCCCGAGGTGAGCGGGGAGCGGGCAGCCAGCCTGTGTCTGCGGGGGAGGAGGGGGCAGCTCCAGGCCTGGCACCCGCTCTGCCCTCCCCGGGTGCAGGGCTGGGGAGGGGCCTGGGAGACACCCCAGCCCGCGCTATGCTCGCACCCAGGTGTACCGCCTGCTCTTGATCCCTGCGCCCGCCCTGGACGTGGGGTCCGTCCGCCCGCGGGGCCCGGAGCCGTGGGGCCGCCTGCAGACCAGCTCCCTGAACCGGCTGGAGGTGAGGGGCCTGTCGGTGGGGAGACGGGCTGCTGCCCACCTCTGGGGGGGTCTCTGCCCGGGGGTGGCTGGCGTGGGAGGGGAAGGCCAGATGGTGACGCGTGTCTGCCCTGCCCGCCGGGAGGCCTGTGAGCTCAGACCTGGCACAGGGTGGGCAGCGAGGCCTGGGCAGCGTGGGCGGGGCTGTGGCTCCTCTGGGGGTGCTCCTTCCGGCCGCGCTCTGCACCCCCAGGCGCTGCTGGCAGCCCCCGCCCTCCTGGAGCAGCTCACCTGCGCCCCCGGCTCCGGGGAGCTGGGCCGGGTCCTGGCGGTGCCCCGGGGGCAGCAGGCGGCACTGCAGGGCTATCGGGACGCGGTCTGCAGCGGGCAGGCCGCCGCCCGGGCCCGGCGCTTCTCTGGGCTGGCCGCCGAGCTCCGGGACCAGCTGGACGTGGCCAAGATCGCCCAGCAGGTGAGGCGGCCCCGCTGCCAGCTGGCCCGCGGGCGGGTGCCGGGCGGGAGGCGGTGCCAGGGCTCCAGCAGCGTCCCGGCTGCTCGGGGTGGGGGTGGGGGCGTGCCTGTGCCTGGGCGTCCGGCACCTGCGGGGGTGCCAGGCCTCACCCCGCCCCCGCCCCGTAGCCTCACCCCTGCCCCCCGCCCCCAGCCAGGGCTCCTCACCTGCAGGAAGCGGACTCCCTCCGCCCCTCGTCCCGCCCACCTGCCCCCTTCGGGGTGTCCTCCCTATTCCACCCTGTCCCTGGGCATCCATCAGCCCCACCTGGTCCCTGCCTGTGCCCACACGCCCCTGTCCCCACAGCTGGGCCTGGACACCCCCAATGGCTCTGCCCCCCGGCAACCGCCGCCCCCCCGGCGGCTGCAGGCGCTGCTGGAGGACCTGCTGGACGCGCAGAAGGTGCTGCAGGACGTGGACGTACTGTCGGCCCTGGCGCTGCTGCTGCCCCAGGGCGCCTGCGCCCGCCCGGGCCCCGGCCCCCCGGGCGCTCCGGGCGGCCCGGCCAATGGCACGGGCGCGGGCGCCAACGCCACGGAGGACAGCGCCCCGTCCGCCGCGGCCCCCGCCGCCTCGCCCTCGGAGGCCCTGCAGGGCCAGTGCTCGGCCTTCGTGCAGCTCTGGGCCGCCCTGCAGCCCATCCT